GAGACTGGAGAAGGCCCCACAATATCGTTCAACCTGCAGCGGCAAGAGCACCCGAGAAGACCGGGCATTGCCAAGCTGGGCGTAAAGCCTTGTGGGTGCTGCAGCAATCCGGGACTTCGTTGCGACTTGACGGAGTCTCACTGTTGGCTCTCTGAACTCCCGATGCATTCTTGGTGGATGCAGGATCGCACTTTTCTTGATACCATCCCATCCTCACTCGGGATCGTCTAGAGTGAGCAGATGAGCATTGAGGAAGAAAGCTGTCGTTTTGGCTGCCGAGCGTTAGGCGACAGGTGCGACAAGGAATCGGCAAGTGTGCTACGTTCAATCAATCCTGTCAGCTGATTTTGAGGTTTTGTTGAGCACACTTGCAGCTGCTGCCCAGTGCAACGCAACGCGATCAGGGCTCAAGGGCTGGGGCGAGATACATGGTTTCCATGTATCGACTCCATGCCCAACCTTGCCCCTAGTCTTGTCCGGAGCCCAGGAACGTGCGCTTAAGGTTGTGGAACATGCTGTCAGCAGTATTCGTATACGTTCGAGATAATCAATGCGAGCTACGGGCCCACTCTCCGCCTCCGCTGGTTCAGAGCGTGTTCGAGCAGCATTGTTGCAGGATCACAGGATGAGGGCTGGCCTCAGAGATCGTGTGCCCGCCCAAATAGTCGATATCGTCGCCCACAGTGTCAGAGTACACTCGCAGCGCAACAGTGTAACAGCACATCGCGGAACGAATGTTACGAAAGCTCCCTCCGTGGAGGGAAGAGCTTTCGTTTGAGACCCAGCTTTGCTGATGGTGGGACCACACAGAAACTGGCCCAAAACGACTTCCGTTTTCGAGCCAACCCCCAGGCCATGACGTGTTTCAGGCGTGGGCCGCGCGGGCTGGTTTTCGGGGCTGCACGGAGAAACGGGCCCCCGATGATGCTTATGATGCCTGGTGCCGGGGCGGGGGGGGACGTGCAGCGGCAAGTGAAAAAGGAGTATCGCTCATCTCTGTCCTCTTCCGCCCACACGCAGCTTGCCCCCGGTTTGTGAGCTTTCGCCCCCGCCTTGGGGCGCATGGAGTGGTGGTCAACACCAGGAGTATTTGCGTGGCCATTCAGGGTCCTCGATCAGGAGTGCCGCACAACGTGAGCGAACAGCCACTTACAGGGCGCGCTCGTCGGCAAGAAGGAAGTCAGCAGAAATCGCAGACAAGGAAACTGCGCATCCAAAGGACGGGGCCGCTCAGCCTGACGGACGGTCGCCGGAAGTGTGCGCTGGAGGGAGATGGAGGGTCAAACTTCCCAGTTGGCCTGGCACTTTGGATTCTTCCGCAAGTGCCGGAGAACCGGAAACGTGTCCTGAACTCTGCAGCGTTGACAAGCCGCTTCCCCTCATGACCTTCCTACTATATAGAGCCTGGAGAATGATGTCCGTAGTGTCTGTCCTGAGACCTTTGTGGCATGTTCCTGGCGAGCCGCGCTCCTTTTCAGGTCTTCCGGCCTCCCAGGGCCCCGAGCGGTGTGTGGCTAAGCCTCCCGGTGTGTCTTAGTGTGCTTCGACCGTGTCGGTTCGGGTCAGGTCCTGTTTCTGAGTATGCCAAACTCTGACTTCGCGGCAGCCTCGGCCACCGGACTGAACGGGCTGCCTCCGGGGAACCTCCGTTCAGGTCTTCCCGGGAAGATGTCGAACGTCCAGGCCCGGCACCGGGTTCGCGCATTCTGCATTGGCCTTTGCCACCGTGAGCCCTGACGGGAGTAAGTACGTCTCGTGCAGGTTAGAGCATCTGTAGGCATGGACTCAACCGCACAGCGCAGCATGTAGCTCAGGTTGCTTTACCTATGCGTCGCTCACGCAATGGCAAAGACGGTAAGCCTGAGAGTTGACAGTGCTGGGCAAGTTGGTCAGACCCCGAGATTCGTCGTCTCTCTCTGCGGTGAAGCGAATCATGGCGAAGACTTCTTCCTTCTAGCATTTTGTTGCTGTACACAGGTCTGGATGGGCTGGGTGCCTGGCGACCTCAAAGACTTCAAGAGGCTGAGCAGTCTGATGCACCTGCCATGTGAGAGCGCGGCTTGCAGTGTTTTACTTGGCAGGCCATTGAGACTCTGAATGGGTCGATTCAGCAAAACGTGCGCATGAATCCACATGAGCAAGGCCGACTCGGTAGAAATCTACTGGATTTCCTTCGTCTGTTTCGACAGCCCGTCAGCTGCTATTCTGGACGAACTTGCTTTCCGCAGTAGTAAGTAGTACAGTAGTACAGTAGCGCTCTCTGGCTGCAAGGCTCGCTTGCTGATGCTTCGGAACATGTGGTGCCGAGCTGACGGAGGGATGGAATCACAGATACGTGAAGTCTGGTTCGCTTCGTTTAGAGTCTAGCAACTGCGCTTTCTCGCGTTGCACATCTAAAGGTCAGGCCACAGTTTCTTTGTAGAGAGCACTGCGAGCAGTTGTCCGGCGTTTCAGAAGATTTAATTTCCGTGACGGTGAATCTTGCTGTTCAAAGGTTCGTGAGACAGTGACAAAGTGTTTGCAAATTGGCAAAGTGAGAGAATCCATGAGCTTGGCTGGTTTGCTGTTTGAGGTGCTGGTCTCGAGTTGGTTGGTGATGACTTTCATGGGAAGCCATGGCGAAGAGCCCTCAGCTACAGTGCAAAGCTGCACTCCAAGACGTCACCAAAGCCCACCGCATGCCGCCTAGGGTTTGTCCAGTCTGTTCTTCCTTGTGGCTGCGAAGACTGTGCAATGCCCAGGATTTGACCAGCAAATCCCAGTCGCTGCCTCAGGACGGAGAGGTGCATTCATAATCTTGGAGACTTGCGTCTCTCTACGAGGCTGCACCAGCTCACGAATTGTGTGAGAACGGCCATGCCTTCGGTTGAATCAGCGACGGCGGAGCATGGCAGAGCCAAGTAGTTCTTCGGGCGTCGAGGCCCTGTCAGAAGCCCTTCAGGCTGCATTCTCGGTACTAGCACCAGGCGCCAGGCCCATCAAAAAGCCACTCGGCTTTTCTTCCCAGGTCTGCCGAGCATCTGTTCATGTCACCGTCGACCTGGCGCTTTTCAACTGATGCTGCATGGGTAAATGTGGGGAAGGTCTGTGATGCTGAGACGCGCTGATACCGAGCTGGTCAGGATATGTCTGTGAAGGGGGGTGACGACAGCCTGGTGGAGATGTTGCAGGATCTGGAAATCGGGTGTCCGAGAAGTAATCAGGAAACGCTTTCAGATTTTCATGTTTATAGCAGGATCGTTGGCGTCCTAACTGGCATCGTCAGCATCACTACTTTACCGAGGAGGGGGGTGTGAGAACCTCAGTCTGAGCAATTTCCAATGGACTGCGCGACGGTCAGCATGATCAGGGCTATAAGTTGGCGCAGATGATGCGCCGGGTCTTGGGCTTGGCCCCGGCCCGGTAGTTATTTATGTGCTAGCTTGATGCTTGCCCCTGTGAATGATCCACTGCCAAGGGCCATGCGGCTGATGCTTTTCGGCAGATGAACTTTACGCGAGTCAAGCCGTGCACCTGATGCTGGTTTGGAATGTGCGGTCTGATTCAGCCACTGGATCGGCCAGGGCATCATACGAGGTGCGTGTCTTTCCGGAGATGCGTGTGCCGGACTTACTGGAAAGCGCGGCTTGCATTGGCAGCACATTGGTCATCTCGAAAAGCCAGTGCATGACCTGCAGGTAACCTCCAAGGATGTCGTGCAAAGGATCGTACCTTGCCTTGCTGACAGAAGCTTTGACTTCCTAGTCCTGCTGAAAGGATCGATCGTCTGCAGATTTTCAGCCGGTGTCTCCGCCCCTGTGTTGAGAGCAACTGCAAGCAGCCGTTCCAAATGAAGCTGACACACGATCACCTGCGATGGTCGGGAATCACATGACAGGTTTGCTGACCTGAACCACCTCTTGGTGCGAAGTCTCGTTCACCGTTGGGCCCTCAAAGGGAGGAAGATGACGAGGGTAGGCTCTCCGCATCTCTTCGCTTTCGTGTCGCCAGGATCCGCGCATGCAAGGCCTGCAGAAGGAGCCAAGGCCTCGGCAGAGGCCCAGGCTAGGCAGATAAAGGCGCTGCATGGGCAGAAGAGGGAGGGGGCTGCTTCCCTGTTTCGGTTCTGCAGGTCATGTTGGATGACATTGGTATGGGCCTTAGGCATCTTTCTGCAGGTGGTGCGCACCAGCACCCGAAGCTTTCCCAAAACCAGTGGTTCAAGTGCAGCAGCAGCAGCAGCAGCAGCAGCACTTCCAAGGATATGGCCTTCGCGAGGTTAAGCCACGGATGGCTTTGCCAGCAGTCGAGGTGCCTGTGTGCCATGCCCCCCACCTCAAAAGCAGTATGCATGCTTCCACGTCCGTCCATCCAATCAAAACGGTCTCCTCCTGTCTTGGCAGTTGGCGGACTGCATGGAAGAGGGCTTGCTCTCAGATGCGCGAGAGGTGCAACTGACAGCTTGGAGAGCAGGGAGAGAAGAGCTGACAACATGGGCAGGTGCACCAATATGTTATTGGCCTATGCTGCGTACTGGCCCGGGCTCCACCCGACCCTACTGTGCTTGAGGTGCTGCGTGCGCTCTCGATCCGACAGGTTCTTCTCATCACCTGTGCGGGCTCGGCCATCTTCTCGCTAAAGCAGCCGTCGCTGGTGCCTGGAGAGTGTGTTGGTGACAAAGCCGTCCACATGCAGTGCCAGCTCCAGACCTCGCTTCTCCTGCACAGGTGCCGAGCCGCACGAACCCCCTCCTGGCATTGCGATGACTGGTGATTTGACGATTCCTCGTGAAAAAGAGACTCACCATGTTAAACGCTTGCAACTGAATACTCCGAGCATATGACATGATTTCCTATGCAACATTCGGGCTTCAGGGTACGTGGGATCGATAGGACCGCCGGGGCGTGCCGGGCGGAGAAGCGGCGAGAGTCTTGTGCTCGCTACACCAACCGATGTCAACGAATTTCTGCTTTAGTCTGTCCTCGTTGACAGCCTTGCAAGCGAGCGTAAGGTGTGCGGCTATGGGTCGCGCTCGCCCTGGCTCTTAACTCTTTTCATTTCTGCGATCGCAGCCAGGGATATCTTGTTGCAGGCATGTATGGCAAGGGCAAGGGGATTGCTCAGCTCTCGGCATGGATTCGCTCCCAGCAGAGATGTTCAGAGAGATTGCGCAAGGCGTCCTCCGCGATCCCCTACAAGCGCACACCTCCTACCTGGCTCAAGATGAAGTCCGAAGCCAGGGCCTCGAGACCTCTGTATGAGAGAGCCAGCTTGAGAACAAGATTAAAAGACACAGGATGTCTGCGACCACATCAGCAAGCTTGCTAAGAAGGGGTGCCGAGCTCGGCCCCCTCCCGGCCCCTCCGGCCCCCTCCGGCCTGAGCGAGAGGAGCAGCCTTTTCCGAGTTCTCCCCGCCGTGCCGAGGCTGACCCCTTCTCAGATTGGTGTCACGCTGAGGTGCCAACTGTAACTGTTACGTTTGACAGCCGTTGTGAGTGGATTGCGACTGTTCTGACTCCTCGTGAGCGCACGCCAGGGATAGCTTCGGTGTGCCCCAGGCACAGGAAGTAGAGTTGTCGCTTAGTAAAGGCAAACTCCGGGTTTGGACAAGTGTCCGGTCGCCCTGTCGCCCCTAAGAAGATCTTCGTAGACGGTCCGGCTGCGTACCTGCTGACCACCTGTGATTTGAGTGCCAGATGCTGTTGTGTCTTGTTCAGGTGAAGACAGTGACAGGCAACCACATCCTCCGCATCCTGAAGTGCCACCTGCTGCAATTGCCAGCCGCCCATGCACACTATCTTCGCCTGTTCCAGTGCACATGCCAACAAATGACAAAAAGTCCCTTGGCTGTTAGAGCGTCTGACAGATGCTTCGAGCATCTGTTGAAGCCGACTTGTCGATGACAGTCTACGATTTCTCGTCTCGAAACTCTGAGTAGATCTGAAGGGCAGTCCCATGTTCCATCAGATGTGCTGATGTCACTTAAATGCGAGTGCCCTTCTCTGCGATGCCAGGACCAATGGTCTGGCCCCAACACTGCCGGAGGCTTCCCGAGATGCTTCGAGCTTCCAATGTAGAGCTCTTGCGGCGGGTGGGGCCAGGACCTGTACTACTTGATCAAGAAGGCGGTGTCCATCCGAAAGCATTTGGACAAGAACCGCAAGGCAGGAAGGAACACCTTCTAAAATCGCCCCTTTTGGCGCGCATGCTTCCTTGGTTCAGGACAAGGATGCCAAGTTTCGCTTGATCCTGGTGGAGAGCCGCATCCACCGGCTCGCCAGGCTTTGGCCGCTAGGAGCTAGAATCTATGCCAATCTATGCTCTACTTGACCAGAGCTGCAGACGGCAGGTACTACAAGCGGGTCAAGTCCCTTCCAGCGACTTGGAAGTACGTCTCTGCCACTGCTTCTGCCCTGGTGGCACGTCTCTCAGACAGAAAGTTTGAAGCGATGTATTCACGTGCCAAAAGCTACTCAGTTGTTTCGGGTCATCTCGTGACTCTTGAGCAGCGACACGGCCCTCGCGGCCCTCTTCGCTATCCAATCAAGGGGGGAGGTCCTCTCGTGCAGGGCCAGGAACGAATCGGGTCAGTTTCTAGCTGGAACTATATGTAGACATGACACGAGCGGAACCGGGCCATCAACGTCGCATCTACCTTTCTAAGCTTTGCCGGGCGCTATGAGGGCCTGCTACAATAGGTGAGTACCTAGCTACAGGCAAAGAGCGTCACCAGCCTTGAACCTGTACATCCTAAACAACGGCGCTTTTTGCAAGTGAAGGTTTAGCATCCTTGGCAGCCCATGTTGCTTTCTTCCAGACTTGTGCTGCCTCCAACTTGTGAAGCCTGACGTGGCCCGAAGAGCGTCACCAGTGAAGGTTCAACTCGACGAAGCTGACATTATCCACATTCGGCCATGTAGTGCAACCCTGTTTGAGGGTGGCGGCCCAACCAAGGACAGACTGCACAAAGTCGCGAGGCAACGACAAGCTTGCAAACCACAATGCTGATGTAGGCATTAAATAGCACCACCTGAAGGCTCCAAGCGTTGCGAATTGAATGAACATTGAATGTGTCAATCTGCACCTGTGCGGGTGGCAATGCGAAGTGTTGCTCAGCTGACTGACCAACGACTTCAAGATTTAATTTTCAAGTTGCCACGTAGTGCACGGCTATACAGTCGGTGCACATCAGGAAAGAGGCCCTCAGCTCACTGCTTCGCTTCAACCAGCTTTGTGGTAAGCGTCAAACCGGGCTTTCCCTTGAAGGGCTCCTCAATCCTTGCGAGCTGGCTTGCAGATTTTGATGCTTCATGCCGACCGGCAATCAGCCCCTGAAAACATCTCCACTGGTCTCCACAAGTCGGATTCAGCGCCGAAACCAGGATTGATCGATCTTGCGATACTCGGTTGGCTATCCATCGCTTCTGTTTGGGCTCCACGGTCTGCTGCCGTTGCCGGTCTTGTTCCTTTAAATCCACGTGACAACCTAGAATCGAGGATGTCAGCAGGTGAAGGCCTAGAGGAGGCAGTCCCACCCAGCGATGACAGCTTTACTGACTTTTCATAATATAGGATGAGCTGCGACCTGCGCATTTCTTCGATTTGATTCAGGATCCAGCTTAGGATTCTCGCAGTCCGGAAACGACAACCTCGCCCAGTGTGTATTTTGCCTGGTTGCATCCTGAATGACGAAACCGTGACGAAACCATGCAGCTGGCACTTAAGGCCCGGCTTCTTGAAATTAGTTAGCTTGCTTCCGCTACTCAAACACATCAGCTTCCGATCAAGGCAAGCACGAGGTGCAGAAGTGCGAAAATAAGTCAGCTGCCTTCTCTTGATGTCGGGTCGGGTCCATCAACTCGGGCAGATTAGATCGTCGACAGATTCGCCGCTTCGGCCTTTCGTACTTGTGTGGTGTTCCGCAGCAATCCTGAACGGTTTGCGTTTAAGGAAACCCTGCGGTCGTAGACGCTCTTTCCTTTCCCAAGGCATAGGCAGCGAGCGCCGCTGCCTCTTACTCTGTGCTGGCTGCCAAGCTGAGTCATGTTGTGTTGGTGTAGGCTGCGCTCCTGCACTGTTCTGGTTTGAGAGCTCGGCACTACGGTACTTGTCTTGTGATGTCTTGTGCGAATTCTTCCATGCTCGCGACGCCGTGCCCGCCAACCAAAGGCTCTACCGAAACAACAGCAGCATGGATACAATAAAGCTTTAGAAGCGTGCTACAAAGAGCTGGCTGCTGAGGTTGGTTCCTTGCTGCAATGATCGATCCAGGCGAGAGACATAGAGCCATACATGCTGCTGCGGTTTGATGAAAATGAAGACCTGCTAGTGATCAGAACGGAGCATCGAAACGTTCCTGCAGCAAGCAAAGGTGAGAGCGTGTCTCTTTATGGTTATGTTTGAATGCAGCACACGAGCCGGCTCAGACAGAGCGTGCAAGTACTACATAGGGCATAGCGGGGAAAGCCTTCGGAATCTTGCAAGATCGTTTGATTTGCGATGTTCTCCACAATCGCAGCGGGTTTGCCAGAAACTGGGAGCAACATCAAAAGCCTCGAAGTCTGCTGAGTGTGACATCACAACACCTGGCGTGCACCTCCTGTGCATCTCTTCGTTGGCTTTGACTCCCCGAGTCAGCGGACAGATGCGAGCACTGTGGCTGCATGACAGGCATCGATTTTGCCGATCCTGCCGGACCGGAACTCCCCAAACTAGGAAGCCATGAGCTTTCAGCCAAGGCATGGAGGCTTCTGCTGCTTCGGCAGAGTGCCAAGAGGGAACCTTCACCGATTCACAGCACCGCCATCTCAAGCTGCTTCTTCCCAGATGCTGTTCTGCCTGCCCCTCTCGTCGCCTGACATCTCGCCACAAGCTCAGAATTCCGAACATCCAATATCCATGGGATGCTTTGCATCATCGTCAGAGAAAGAGGGATGCTGCACTCAGCGAAGCGCTCCGAAATGAATTGAAAGCAAACCATGTTGCAGGTGTTCTGAGTGCTTCTTGAGGCCATCCTCGCAGACTCTGAAGCGCAGTCTGCGACAGCGAGCCCCAAGTTTATTTGATGAACTTGCGGCACCGGGCGATGTGCTGTACTCAGTCACGGAGTTCCACCAGCCAAGGCTCAGGTGATGCAGCGGAGTTCAGTTGCATGTCATGCTTGCTGCTTTCAGGTTCTCCCAGTGTCTTCGTCTCTTCGGCGCGTCGTCGATGCCCTACATGGCACATGGCACCTTCAGATGTTCCATCGTGAAAGCTTGCGGCAAGGTGGGAGCTGGGCAGCCTCACCCAGAGCTGAGGCCTTGCTTCTGTGGTCAGTCGTTAGTTTATCGCAAATTATCGCAGCTAGCAGGGTTGAGATGATTACTATTGCTTTAGACTGACTGTGCCAGGCGAATGTCATGGCTGATGTTCCTCTTCGTGGTGCTGGACACCTCCAAGGGCTTGCTAGTTTCGTGGCCACGGCCTCGGCAAAGTGGGGGGTTTCTGGAGGAGGAATTGAAAGCTGCGAGGTGCCTCTCTGACCTTGCGACTCGGCCCGAGGTCCGCTGCACACAGCTGCGTTGCGCTGGTGCCCATCGCACTCTGCGCCCCTCGACTGAGCCTTGCATAGATGGATCATGATGGATCTGCGCGTCTTCCTTCTGTGTTTTTGTTACGTGACAGGCCAAGAACGTTCTCTCCATCGCCTTCGGTCTGGGCCTGGCCGCGTTGTTGGACGGGATGCCCGGGGTGAGGCGCGAAAAGGGGCGGGGGCGCACCGCAGAGAAGCCAAGCCGGCCAAGCCACGCCAAGTCACGGCTCTCTTTGGGGCTCCAGGCGCTGCCTGGACATCCGCCGCTCGCTTCGCGTCTTCCCGGTGCTCGCCTTGGGCCTTCGCCTCTTCCACGGTTTCCCTCCCACCCTCTGGGTCGCCGCAGGTGGCCGCCTGCTTCTGCACAGCTCAGATGGCCAACGCCTCGGATGCCTTCGAGATGAGCGTTGGATCTGAAACGGTTCTGTTTGGGTACGCAAAAGGAAGGCAATAATCCACGAGCGTTCTTACGTAGGCCTGGGGTGTATAAGACCGGTACAGAACATATTCAAGGGGCTGCGCCCAGAGTCGGGCAACGCAGGCAGTTCATTCATTCATGCATTCCTTAATTCATTCAATCATTCATTCGTTCATTCATTCAATCCATCAATCAATCAATCATTCAATCAATCAATCAATCATTCAATCATTTAATCATTCGTTCATTCAATCAATCATTCATTCATTCACTCATTC